CCTTATGCTCATACAATGCCACACAGTGACCATCTACCTTGAGTGGCTCTTGGGCCTTGTATGGAATGAACATTAGAAAAAAAAAAAAAAAATCTGTCTCTATCTAAATCTCTGTATCTAATCTTTCTAGAGGATGCGATGGATAAATTGTCGTCTAAATTACACAAAATTCAAAAACATTGACATCTCATTTTTAACAGATATATTTACCAAAATTACACAAAAATATCTTGAAATACTAAGTAAATTTATTCAATAAAATTGCCATTGGCTTCAACCACAGCCTCCAGATGACTTTGGAATCTCCTGCAACTATCCTGGACAGTCTCCTTGTTTAAGTTGGTGAATGCTGCTATAATTCTTGCTTTTAGTTCATCTTTGGTTTTTTTTTTTTTTGGTCTCTTGCTTAACTGTACTCCTACACATAATAATCAAGGGGTCTAGGGAGTTAGGTGGCCAGATGTGAGAGGTTATATGATTGCCGAAATTGTCTTACAGCCATGACTGGATTCTCCTGCTTGTGTGGCATGGTGCAGAGTCATGTTGCCAGACATAGGGTCTTCCAGCAGCCACCTTCTTGACCCAGGGAAGCACTACTTCGTTAAGGCACTTGATGTAGGCTACTGTAGGAAGATGAATGGAAGTTGCTATCACTAGTGATCACTCGAAACACCTGTCTAATCAGCATTAGACTCTTCCAACTCTTTCCAAATCCTCTGCATTGTCCTCAGCTTGACACACACTCTAAAATGTTTGTTTTGGAGCTTCTGGTGCAAATGCCAAGCAGTACAGCATGCTGTTTCCAAATTTCTAACAGTGAATTGCATCATGATACTCTTTTTCTCACAGATGGTGCACAACTAACCCTACTATACTGTGCAGAATAAAAAAACAAACAACATGCATGTGTGAAATTAAAAATATAAAATGGCGATAATGAACTCAATAATGCAAAACGGACACTAGTTAACAATGCCTTTCCTGACCACCTTATAGAACACCAACTTAGACTATTTCTTCCCAAAATAAATAACAATGATAGTGAACACACAGTCAAGAATGACATAAATATTTTCTACAAAAGCCAAAAGCACATCAACCACAAACAAGATGAATCTTCACTTAGAAATATTATAAAGAAATACACTACCCCAATTGACCCAAACAAAAAAAAAAATCAAATTATTTCCAAAAAATTTAAAACGGCTAACCTTATCCTCAAAAATAAAAACATACCAGCAAAATCAAAATTACAATGGTTGAACATTATTTATGAGTTCAAATGCTCCTTAAACCGAATTCATAAATAATTACATCGGTCACACTACTACATGCCTATCCAGACACCTTATGTTACACTTATCCAACCATAGTTCTATTAGAACTCATTTAAACACATATAAACTTACCAGACTCCATCCAAAACATACTAGTAGAAAATACAAACATAGTATCCTCAACCACATGTTAAAAAATAAAAAAAAATAATGTAAACCTTAATAATAAAAAAGAAAAAGCCAACACTCAATAATATTAATTGCAAACACGGCTACAAAGTCCTGTGTCTGGAAAATAACTTATAACTCCAGAAACATACACACACCCTACACCCAATTAAAAAGCAAAAATAAAATCATCCTTGATAATGGCTAAAAGTATAGCCGAAAGCGCTTGGAATTACAGAACATTTGGACAGTTTCTAAACCCTGTGTGTCCAGGAAAGAAAACACTTGTTTGAACACAAGAAAAATTAAATAAAAGCTTGTCTTTAATGAAACAAGTATAAATGAAAGATTGCTGTCTCTCTCTCTCTCTCTCTCTCTCTCTCTCTATATATATATATATATATATATATATATATATATATATATATATATATATACACACACACACACACAATATAGAAAACTCAAACACTAATATTCCATGATTATAATTTATTACATTGGAATTGTAGTTGCAATCCAATTCATCAGGCCTATTGGATCATGATTACGATTACAATGTAATAAATTATAACCATGGAATATTAGTATTTGAGTCTTATATATCTCTTGTAGGTAGATGTACAGACCTACTAACATTGATCATCTACTTCTCCTCTGTCTCAAATAAAACTTTGGATTATGGAACTTGATTTGTTTATTCCCCAGTACTCTTAAGTACAAGGTTACTAGATTGAGGCAATAAAAAGAGAGAGAGAGTGAAAACACAATCTCCTACAAACAAATCTGTTACAAAGTGTTTTTGTAAAATACCTTTGTGATATGTAGCAATTATTTTTATCTGATTTAATAGCCGACCTTGTTAGCCAGTTTTAAAAGCAACTTGCTTGACTTACATCATAACCATTACTCTGCACCAAGTACTTTTGTTCCCCAAGTGTAAGGGTTATTTTGATACTCTCTCCATCCCATTGTGTTATCTGCTTTTAAATATCTTTGCATCCATCTATGGTTCTATAACTATGGAATGAAGAGTTGGATGATTTCTTTCAAGAATATTTGGGCTATATTCTTCTTTAAAAGAAAATGTTTTTAACATAGTAGGAGTGGCTGTTCTTGATCGGATTTCAGGCTTTACTGAAAATACACTGCCACATCGTATAAAGAAAATCATGTCATTAGGCATTTTTTTGACATATCTGTATTGATGCTGGTAGGTTTTTAATGTAGTGAGTCTTTGGGCCCCATAGGTAGTGGTTTGAGTGTTGCCCTGGGAAATTCAATGTTTCTAATAAATTTTTGTGTTAAATTGCAGGACTACAGAGTAAGTGTTTTTTTTTTTATTTTATTTTATTTTTTTTTTTACCATCTTCCCAAAAATGATTTTTAATCATGCTGAATCACTTACATTGACAGAATTTTTTTTAAATAAATAAATTTAAAATAAAAGCAGTTTTTATACTTACACAGAGTTCTATTAAGAAGCTATATTTTTTGAGAATTTTGACAGAACAAAAGTTTTTTTTTTGTTCTTTTTCTTTCAATTGAAACACTAAATTTAAAATAAAAAAAGTATTTAAAGCAATGATCAGAAAACTTCAATGATTTCAGGTGCGTCCAATAAAATTAAAAAAAAAAAAAATGAACCAAGATATCGTGACTGAGCCTTGTTTTAACTGTTGATCACACTACATGATGCGCTCTTTTCCAGAAACTGTAACTAAGGTCTGCTCAGCAGAGTTGCAGTATAAACCACAGGTGGGCTCTGTGGGTGTTGAACAAACACAAATGTGTCTGAGCAGGCATCTTAACTTGGATTGGGTAGCAGATCAGCATATATTCAGATATGAGTTGATATTGATATTATTATTATTATTGTGTGTATGGTATCATCTTGCCAGAGAGTAATTTTAAATGTTTGATTACCAAGTCCTCTTTATAGTCTGTGAGTTAAAATGGCACTGTAGGAGAATTGAGAAATCGGAGAGCTAAGTTTGGATTCCAGTCAGATCCATTACGTTCACTTATGTGCTAATACCCTTGGGGAAGGTATGAATCCTCTTTTTCTCCCCCCAGCTATGGGTAAATAGTAGGACAGACTGGGTTCTATAGCCTTGGATGGCAACCTATTGTGGGACAAAAATCTCACTCGTCAGTCATGTACCAAAAGATACATGATTGCTTATGTGTGTATCACGCATAGCACATAACTGACTGAGGAGAGTTATCTATGCACATTTGGGATGTTCCGTTTAGATAGTGTTTTGCAGATGATATTTTCAGTTTTGCCCAAGGTAATCTTTTATAGCTCTGAGATGTTGATGTTTCCAGGAATTTGACTCGCATGATTTTTCGTACCCTTCTTTATCATACCCAAAGCTCTGATCAGAACAGGGATAATTGTAGTTTAAATTTTCTGAACAATCAAAAGTGCCCAGCAGATTGGCTTAGTCAGTCACTCAATTTCTATTACAGTCAAATACTGTCTCTTGCTATTACCAAATTCTACATTTTCCACATTTTTGATGCTTTGATTTGCAGGTCCTCATAATGTGACAGTTTTTAAAATTTTTTTTTTTTTTAGAAACATTGGAATTCTGTGGGCAAGTCATATGAATATTGACAGGTTCCTTATTTGAAATCTTTCATGACTATGTCTGGTATATTTGCATCAGTTTTCCTTTTTGTGAGGATTGTGAAATTCCCCAGTATAGACATTCCATCACCATTTATGACATTTAGGTGATATTTGTACCATGTATCTAGCACTCCAATGCCGTAGTTCAAACAGACATGTCAATAAATATGTTGTCCAATCTTGTCATTTCTAATAATGTATTCTTTCTCAGCAAGGACTGGACACCCAGATACTATGTGGTCAACAGTTTCATTAAATTTGTGACATAAGCAACAGGTGTTGATTTTTAGCCTTGTAGGCATTAGTTGGAAGACATTGGTGTTGTACTGCCATAATAAGGCTTTCTGTCTTCCCCCTTAAGACCATTGCTTCTAAGCCATTGATGGGTTTGGTGTGCATCATTGTCTGGTTCATCTAGATGCTTTGGGTACTTTCAATACTAGGTTTTAGATCTCCATTTTTGTTCAAGAGACACATAAACAGCTTTTACCATTCTTTGCTGTAGCAGTGGGAGGTTCAGGATAGGTGTCATCTTGTGTATCTGTTATGTCTAAGGAGTTTCATATTGAAACACTGGTTCCCATACAATCACAAAAGTTAAGCAACATCAAGCCTGGTCAGTATGGGCAACCACTTAAGAATACCAGCTGTTGTAAGCTTGGATGTGTGGCTGGTGTGATGGATAATGGCTTGGAATTGTTAATCTGAGAGCTGAGTTGCAATTTCCATTGTGTTCAGTATATTGACTTACGTGTAAATACCCTTGGGAAATGTATGAATCCGCCTCTTCTCCCTCCAGCTATGGGTTAATTATTAAGACTTGTATCATTAAACCATTATTATTTTTAAAAAAAATTACGATCTAAAAATATTTTCTGGTCTTAAATAACCTGCAAAGGGTTGATGAACTGTAAAAAATGAATCAATCATTATTCTCATTCCTCTTCTTATTCTCCTTCTTCTCATTCCTCTTCTTATTCTCCTTCTTCTCATTCCTCTTCTTATTCTCCTTCTTCTCATTCCTCTTCTTATTCTCCTTCTTCTTATTCTCCTTCTTCTCATTCCTCTTCTTATTCTCCTTCTTCTCATTCCTCTTCTTATTCTCCTTCTTCTCATTCCTCTTCTTATTCTCCTTCTTTCTCATTTCCTCTTCTTATTTCTCTTATTCTCCCTTCTCATTCCTCTTCTTATTCTCCTTCTTCTCATTCTCCTTCTTCTCATTCCTCTTCTTATTCTTCTTCTATTCTCCTTCTTCTCATTCCTCTTCTTATTCTCCTTCTTCTTATTCTCCTTCTTCTCATTCTCTTCTTATTCTCCTTCTTCTCTCTTCTTATTTCCTTCTTCTCATTCCTCTTCTTATTCTCCTTCTTCTTATTCTCCTTCTTCTCATTCCTCTTCTTATTCTCCTTCTTCTCATTCCTCTTCTTATTCTCCTTCTTCTCATTCTCCTTCTTCTCATTCCTCTTCTTATTCTCCTTCTTCTCATTCCTCTTCTTATTCTCCTTCTTCTCATTCCTCTTCTTATTCTCCTTCTTCTCATTCCTCTTCTTATTCTCCTTCTTCTCATTTCTTCTTATTTCTTCATTCTCCTTCTTCTCATTCCTCTTCTCATTCTCCTTCTTCTCATTCCTCTTCTCATTCTCTTCTCATTCTTCTCATTCTCCTTCTTCTCTTCTCATTCTCCTTCTTCTCATTCTCTTCTTATTCTCCTTCTTCTCATTCTTATTCTCCTTCTTTCATTCTTATTCTCCTTCTTCTCATTCCTCTTCTTATTCTCCTTCTTCTCATTCCTTCTCCTTCTTCTTATTCTCCTTCTTCTCATTCCTCTTCTTATTCTCCTCTCTTCTCATTCCTTATTCTCCTTCTTCTCATTCCTCTTCTTATTCTCCTTCTTCTCATTCCTCTTCTCATTCTCCTTCTTCTCATTCCTCTTCATTTTTCTTCTCATTATTTTTCTCATTCTCCTTTTCTCATTATTCTTCTTATTCTCCTTCTTTTTATTTTTTCTTCCTCCTCATTATTCTTTTTCATTATTCTTTTTTTATTTTTTTCTTATTCTCTTTCTTATTATTTTCTTCTCATTATTCTTTTCTTCCTCTCATTATTCTTATTCTTCTACTTTTGATTTTTCTTCTCACTATTGTATTATTTTTCTCATTATTTTTTTTTATTCTTTTTCTTATTCTTCTTCTCCTCTTTATTCTTTTTCTGCTCTATTCTTTTTTCATTCTTTTTTCTCCTTTTCTTTTTCATCTTTTTCCACTTGTTTCTCATTCTTTTTTCATTTTTCTTTTCCTTTTCTTCTCATTCCTCTTTTTCACTTCTTTTCTTCTCATTCCTCTTTTTCACTTCTTTTCTTCTCATTCCTCTTTTTCACTTCTTTTCTTCTCATTCCTCTTTTTCACTTCTTTTCTTCTCATTCCTCTTTTTCACTTCTTTTCTTCTCATTCCTCTTTTCACTTTTTTTTCTTCTCTTTTTTCACTTCTTTTCTTCTCATTTCTTTTCACTTCTTTTCTTCTCATTCCTCTTTTTCACTTCTTTTCTTCTCATTCCTCTTTTTCACTTCTTCTCATTCCTCTTTTTCACTTCTTCTCATTCCTCTTTTTTCTTCTTTTCTTCTCATTCCTTTTTTTTCACTTCTTCTCATTCCTCTTTTTTTTCTTTTCTTCTCATTCCTTTTTTTTCTTTTCTTCTCATTCCTCTTTTTCACTTCTTCTCATTCCTCTTTTTCACTTCTTCTCATTCCTCTTTTTCACTTCTTCTCATTCCTCTTTTTCACTTCTTCTCATTCCTCTTTTTCACTTCTTCTCATTCCTCTTTTTCACTTCTTCTCATTCCTCTTTTTCACTTCTTTTCTCATTCCTCTTTTTTCTTCTTCTTCTCATTCCTCTTTTCACTTCTTTTCTTCTCATTCCTCTTTTCCTTTTTTTCATTCTTCTTTTCTTCTCATTCCTCTTTTCACTTCTTTTCTTCTCATTCCTCTTTTTCACTTCTTTTCTTCTCATTCCTCTTTTTCACTTCTTTTCTTCTCATTCCTCTTTTTCACTTCTTTTCTTCTCATTCCTCTTTTTCACTTCTTTTCTTCTCATTCCTCTTTTTCACTTCTTCTCATTCCTCCTCCTCTTTTCCTCTGATTCTTTTTTCTCCTTCTTCTTTTTTCTCCTCTTTTCATCTCCTTCTTCTTTTTTCTCCTCTTTCCTCTGATTCTTTTTTCTCCTTCTCCTTTTTTCTCCTCTTTTCATCTCCTTCTCCTTTTTTCTCCTCTTTTCATCTCATTCTTTTTTTTATTCTTATTTTCAACAATAACCTTTCAAAATGTATATAATTACTAAAACAGCAAGATTGCAAAAATATAGAAAATCTTCACTTATAAATGACAATATCATAAAAGAAATTGGCATTTATGTATGTATATGTGTGTATATATATATATATATATTTACATATATGAAATTTTACATACTGTGCACACATACACCTCTCTCTTTCTTATAGACATAATAGATGAGATGATGCTGAGAATTTCTTTGCTTTACTCACTTCCTAAAATCTGACTAAATATGTTTTTTTTCTCTCTCTCTCTCTCCCTTTTTTATTTTAGAACTTCTTGGTTGGGCAGACAACTTTTCAGCACTTGTGTGTAAACATAAAAAATGGTACAGAAAATTTCTCATCCTGACCAAATAGCAAAATTTATTTTTGAATCCCTTATTGGTTAGGTTGAGAACTTTTCAGTACCTCTTTGTGTGTGTGTGACTGTGTGTCTTAAAAGCACAAATGATAATGTAGGTTCAAACCCTAGCAGAAGCAAGTTTTTGATATTAAGATTCTCAAATGCAAAGATCAGCAGATGTAAATTTACACTGTTTGAAAAAACAAGAATGTCTACTGAAATGTGTGTCCACTAAATATAACACTAAAAGTAATAAGAAAATACACACACCCCAAAACAACATATACATATTAATGTTTTGAATGTACATTTAGGCAAAGAAAAAAATCAGCCAAACTGGTTTTATTAAATTCAACTGACAAGATATAATTTTTGCTTGAATTTCTGGGGTGAGGAGTTATTATTTACACTATTTACATGTGGTCTACTGTCTATAACAAAAAATATGAGGATAATAATCCACCTGTAAATAGTGTAAATAAAGATATATTTTTTATTGAATTTTTCAATTTATTAAATATTTTGTGTTCATTTTAATTATTTTATGCACATTTTAAAAATGCCATTACCAGTGGTGAAAGATATTTTTTTCATGTGGCTTATTTCTTTGTGTGGCTTATTTCTTTTGTGTAATATAACTGCATATTTAAATTTGAGATGTAGTGTTCCCAAAATGCTAGGATGAAGCTAATAAAAACATGTCTCTATGATATTGATGACATTAAGTTCCTGCTAATGATGGTATTAAAGTATTCAGACAAAAACATGAAGTTTGGACAGATTCTCTACAAATTTGATCTAGATATACAACAAATTATTTGAAGTTTATAAAAATACAAGAATTATTTAAACAGACCTTCTTGGGTGAATTTAATAAAACTTATTTACACTATTTATATTTGGACTATTGTCCTCATCTTTGTTTTTGTTATCACAATGTTTTGGCTGTTGTGCTCTCCGGCCTTCTTTGGGTGTATATTGATCTGGGTAAGTACAAGGAATTCTGAACTGAATTCTTTATTCAATCTATGGGAGTAGACTGTTCTTATTACATTGCTCATGTCTAGGTATGTTGTTTAGTTCTTATTTAGCACTGCTCAGTAATTGCCTACCTGTTTCCACTGAGTATAAGTATGGACTGTCCAACCCAGGAATTGAACTTGCAATTACTGTTACTAAAATTCACCCTGTACAAGGCTTGGGGGTCACTTGAGGTAGAGGGTTCTATTAAGGGTAATTTATATGGATAAGAAGGGATGATAACTTGGGAATCTGTTCCACAGGGGCAGTGGTTCGTGGGAAGGAGCAGTTTGAGTGGATTCAAATCGATATATACCAGAGAAAGGCTGGAGGATTCAATGGGTAAACTTTTGTGATAACAATAACAAAGATCAGGACAATAGTCTAAATATAAATACAGTGTGTGATGGGTAAATTATCGCCATTTTACATTTTTAATTTCACACATGCATGTTGTTTTAGATTTTGTTGACTGCACAGTATGTGAGAAAAAAAGCACCATGACACAATTCACTCTGTCAGAAATTTGGAAACCACCTGCTGTACTGTTTGGAATTCACACTAGAAGCTTCAATACGAACATTTCAGAGTGGTTGGGTGTCAAGCTGATGACAGTGCAGGGAATTTGAAAAATGTTGGATGAGTCTAATGCTGATTACCAAAGTGTTTGGAGTGATCACTAGTGATAGCGACTTTATACCTCCATTCATCTTCCTACAGGGCCTCAGACTCAACACAGAGACCTTGAGGAGGTAGTACTGCCCTGGGTCAAGAGGGTGGCTGTTGGAAGACCCTATGTCTGGCAACAGAACTCTGCACCATGCTATACAAGCAGGAGAACCCAGTCATGGCTGTAAGAAAATTTCTGTGACCATATCACACCTTACATCTGGCCACCTAACTCCCCAGACTGCAACCCCCTTGATTATTATGTGTGGAGTGCAGTTGAGTGAGAGAGCAACAAAACTCCTTGTAATATTAAAGATGAACTGAAGGCAAGGATTATGGCAGCATTCAGCACCTTGAACAATGAGACTGTCTAGAAGAGTTGCAGGAGATTCTGAAGTTGGAACAGATTCCCAAGAGGATGTTTTCCCTAATCACTAAAATCTTAACCTGTTCAAGTCTAGATTGGTTGAAGCCAATAGCAATTTTTATTGAATAAATTTACTCTTTAGTATTTGAATATATTTTTGTGTAATTTTGGTAAATATATCTGTTAAAATGAGATGTCAGTATTATTTTCATTTTTGCATAATTTAGATGACAATTTAACCAGTGCACCCTGTAAATAACAAAACTTCCTCATCACAGAAATTCAGACAGAAATTAATAAAATTTTTTTGATATTACTATCTTATATACATTGTTGCACACTGGTCATTAAATAATGTTTTTACTTCATGTTCCAAAATACTTACCTTGTATGTCCAGTCTTTGTTGACAATCTGTGTAAATTTCATGTTCTTCCTGGTCAGTCATGTCCTCATCATTTTAACCAAGGATCGTCAGACTCTGGACTGCTGTACATATCCACAGGTATCAAAATGAAACAATGCTTTTGATTAGAACTAGAGTAATCCTAACTGCTGTAGGGCGTGCAAGGTTTTATTTATTTATTTAACTCAAGATTAACCAATGAGTTATGTCATGGCCACAGGAAAGTGAGCAAGACAAAGAAAAAACATATACACATGTACGCATACAGTTTATGGTGTTTAATGATTTTTAAAATCACCAGTTGTATTGAATAAGTTTCATCTACTGTAGTTACCTATTTTCTCTCTTTTTCCTCTCTGTTTTCCTCTCTCTCTCTCTCTGTGCACTTTTTTGTTTTTTCTCTTTCTCTCTTCACATTTCCTGTTTACTCTCCCTTCACTTTTTCTATTCACTTTCCTCCTCTCTCTTTCCCTCTACTCTCTTTCTGTCTCTCTAATTTGCCCTCTTCCTCTCTTTTCCTATATCTCTTTCCTCAATTTCAACTGCTCTCTGTTGCTTGTCCCCCTCTCCTTCCCTCTTTTTCTCTTGCTTCCTGTTTTCTTCCCCCCTTTTTCTCTTTATGTCGTTTCCTTTTCTCTCTTCTTTTTTCCTCTGTTTTCAATTCTCCTCCTTTTCCTCTCTCATCTCTCTTGCTCTCCCTCTCCCCTCTTTCTTCTGCCTTTAATAATAAAACAATTTTAATTTTCTTTAAGGATGCTGCAGCTGCTGCTGCTGCTCTTAGTGTAATTGTTTGATTGTAAGCCAATTGTAGTGGCAACTAGTGGGCTTGTTTGACTTACTGCATAGTTGACAGCAGGATTCGGAAAAAAGACTCGTGGTTGTTTGTGGATGCTCTGCTGTTGTGGTAATTCTCCACTGCCATCATGCCCAAAAGAAGTGGTAAGTTGCAAAAAATATTTTTGTGGACACTGGTCACTAGCAAGAGGGAGATGCATATTCAAAGATACTAGTGTAAGATATTAGTAGATGCTTTATATCTGCATGTGTATAATTATATACTCTCTCTCATATATATGTGCATGTATATATATATATATATATATATATATATATATATATATATATATATATATATACACACACACACACTACTCATTTGTAAATTTATCTCTTAACATCCTAGCAATAATGTACACATGCGCGTAAATGAGGATAAAAGTTTTTTTTAGCATGCACTGTTGTGTGTGTGCATGCATACACCCAGAAAATAAAACTCTTATGAATACAAAGAAATTGAATAAAAAACTTAATCACAGTACCTTGTCAGTTGTCTTTAATGAAACTTGTATAAAAGAGGGATTATTGCCTAAATACACATACATACATACATACATACATATTTATATATATATGTATGGAGAGTGAGCCTTGGTTTGAAGGTTGAAATTGCTCATCACCATGCAGTGTTGATTCCATTGTCCACACTGTCCTATATATGGGATGCCAAAATCTAGCCAAATGCCGTAACTTTTTTTTCTTTTTAGAGCCAAGAACTTTTCAGTACTCTTTCATATCACTGGCCACTAAACCAATCCCTCTTGTCCTTCCCATATGAAAATATTCCCCTTGAACAATCAGTGTTTTACTAAGCTTATCTTAGTATGGCATAAGGCCACAAGTGTGTGTGTGTGGAGGGCTACCCTATAAGGATTAAAGCTGTTACAATAGTAGTAGTCTGTGAGCACAAATATACTATTTCATTAGTGGATATTTTACCTGTAATGTCATATCTAATGATATAAATTGATTATCTTTACGTCATTATCTACGTAGGTTTAAATGTTCTTTGTAGAGAATTGCTTTCTGTAATTTTATTGATCAAGAAAAATATTTAAAAGGAAAATGTTTGACAGATGTTTTCTTTGAAGAGCCATTGGTTTTTGATTGATTGATTTGTTTTTTATGGCTTATCAACCTTTTCCAGGTTATTTAAAGCCAGAAAATATTTTTAGATTGTAAGAATTTGTGGGGGAGGGGGAGTAATAATGATTTACTGATGAAAGTCCTACTAATTAACCCATAGCAGGAGAAATAAGTTTTCCCAAGGGTATTTATGCATAAGTGAATAAAACACTCTGATTTCCAATTTTGAGCAGTTATCTATTACACCACTTCCAAGCTTACAGCACATGGTATTCCTAAGTGGTCACCTATCTAAGTACTGATAAGACTCAACATTGCTTAACTTTGGTGATCATTTAGAGAACTGGCATTTCAAACTGGCTGTAAGCCAAACAAAAGGAAAATATTTTGAAAAATTGAATTAAAAGACCGCATAAAAAAAAAAAAAATATATATAAAAACAGGTTATGTTTTTTTAAAATTTTATCTTCAGTAAACAAACAAAACTGCTTTTATTTCTTTTGTTACTTTTTTATTTGTGGTATATTAAAGAAAATTATTTTGTATAGTATTTAAACACTATGGTACTTAGAGAGGATTAAAAATATTTTTTCCAATTACTATATTAAAATGTAATTTTTAGAGATCAATTTTCTATTGCTCTTAATATGAACAATAGAAAATTGATATCCCATTAACTTAATACTAGTTTATGGCATTGTACTTGTAATTCACACAAATATTATTACTAAAACCAGAAACTCTTTGTTGTTACTTAAAGGGATTCAAATAGCTACTTTTCTAATTATAAAAATTTAAATTGCCACTTGGTAAATGAAAAAAAAAAAAAAAGAAAATATTTTGTAAGGTGTTATTTTTTTATATTGTGTATTTATTCTAGGGGGATCAATTTATTACTTAGGAACAATAGAAAATCGATCCCCCATTTTAAGTCCAGTAGACATATTAATACTACTTTATGGTTATATGCTTGTAATTGTTGATATACATGATGATTAAATTCAGAAACTGCTTGTTAATTAGCAGAGAGATTCAGAAAGTTGCTTGACTAATGAAAATTTGATGTACCACTTGCTAAATATTAAGGAAAATAATTTTGTAATGTGTTCAGACTCACCATGGTATTAATAGATGGTTTAAAGCTAGTTGGGGGACCAGTTTATTACTTAGGAACAATAGAAAATAGATCCCCCGTTTTAAGTCCAGTAGACTCATATTAATACTAGTTTATGGTCACATGCTTGTAATTGATACACATGATGGCCAAATCCAGAAACTCCTTGTTATTTAGCAGAGGGATTCAAAATGCTTCTTGACTAATCATGAATATTTTTCTTGCCACTTGCTAAGTATTAAGGAAAGACATTTTGTTGGCTGTTCAAATAGCCTACTATATTCCCAGAGGATTGAAAATATTTTTCCCAGTTATGATGTAATACTGCAGGATATGTTTATTAGGAACAATAGAAAATCAATCTCCTATTTTAAGTTTGGCAGAATTTATATTAATACTAGTTTACAGTTCACACAAGTATGACTGATAAAAAATTACTTGACAGAGGTTTTCTAAAAGCTACTTGACTAATCGTGAAAATTTGACTTGCTACTTGGTTATGTAAAGGCAAGTCTAGCTTTGTTTCTTTTTGTTGTTGTTGTTGAGGTCTTTTGACAGCAGGAGAATATTCATGAAACCTTGCTTCACTTTCATGCTAAATTCTTCAATTATCTTATATGCAATATTCATTGCCTTCTAAAGATGGTCCAACATAGAGAATCTCTGATTCACCTGATGCTACCAAAGAGTAATTTTATGTGACTGCCCTGGTGTTTTAGATGACTTAAATGAATCTGTATGATTATAAAACTTTAATATTCTAGAAATTACTCTCTTAGATCTATTGTCATCCCTTGAGTATTTTCATGTGAAAACCCAATACCTGAATTATTCATCGATTTGCTTGCCATTGTGATAACCAAGGAAACAATGCTGGCAAATATTTGTTTATATTGCAGTGTTGCTATATTTTGTTATGCACTATTTCATTTATTTATTTATTCTTTTAGAATTCAACATTAAATGTAAATATACAATGTGATCCTTGTCCATGCTTTCCACTGACTGGTCAATGATTATTCACTATTACATTTTGATTCTTATTCTTGTTGGTGTACAACTGAATGCTGGGTAACCAATTGCTGCAGGTTCACCAGATAACCAGATGAAAAACAAACACCATCTTGAGAAATAAGAACAGGAACCCTGTTTCTCATATGTAGATGTTTTATGCAGGGCTTTGCCTGTTTGCCTGGGCGGAAAGATTTTGGACAACTTCTATGTTATTTTTTGATCAGCTCTTCTCCCTACCAATTCCTTGTCCATCTACACATCCGATATGTACCTGGCAATAGAAATGGATGGCATTGGAACCACATGATGGACAAGACCATCTCCCGCCAAGGGTAAACCAGAACTGTCTCCTCAGATCTCAAGCATGGCTGTTAATATAGACCAGCGACCAGATACACTATATCTGGTTTTGTTGTCACTTGATCTCCAAAAAAATCTCATCCATTCATCTGTTCCCCTTTGTGTTGCTCTGGCAGCAAGGCCTCAAATTGGGAGATTGGAGGTTTTGAAGAGTGTGGAACCACCTCTTAATTTCTGCTGTTCCCAGGTCCACCCTGACCCAAGGTGGTAGCACCTGTTAGGGTCCCAGCTATTGGCAAATAGTGAACTCACAAGCAAAAACATTATGAAAGTATAAAAATACATTTTGATAGTAAAAAATACCAGCAATACATCTTTATATAACAATACTGACAATGCATAATCAGCAATACTGTATTATCTGTAGTTGAGAGTATACAATTGTATTCAAAATATTGAAGCCATAAAATTGTGTTCAAAATATTTACATTTTGGCATTAAATAACCTATAATGTTGATATGCTGTTAAAGAAAACCAACCAACCTTTGTGTGCTGGGTGGTATCAGAACCATGTGGCTGTCAAGTCTATCTCCCACCAACGGCAGACCAGAACTGACTCCCCAGATCCCAAGCATGACTGTTGATATAGACCAGCAACTGGATACACCTTATGTCTGGTTTTCTTGTTGCTTGTCTTCAAAAAATCCCATCAACTCCCTTGTTCCAAAGTGGATGCTACTGATAAAATTTTCAAATGCCATTACTGGCCAGAAACACTTGAGATGGAGATAAAACCACATCTTCCTTTTCAATGTAGGTATCACAAAACATAAATATTTTTTTTCTTGAAACTTTTCTTCAAGCACACTTTTTTTTTTTTTGTACAGATTTGCTATAATTTGTATGAATTTCTGGGATGAGGACCTATCATTATTTACATGCAGACTATTGTCCTCATTTTTGATGACAATAGTTTACATGTAAAAAATATATTTACTACAATTTTTACCACAGTCAAATATAGAGAAATGGAAATTTTTTTATTATTTTTAAACTTTTATTCTCAAATGTCAGATGTTAACGTCTCAAATGTAATTTTGCAAAATATGTCTGTTTGATACTTTGGCACACATCATAAGTGATGTTTTTAGCTGAGGATTTTTAGGAGTTTCAGGTCTTAGAATATCATAACTCTTCATCTGTCAGTTACAGCTATTCTCATAATAGAGCCTTAAGACATTGTGACTACTTTGGCCTTTGTAGTCTAATCATGAGCAACTTCTGATTGATCAGCCTCTCTGCTCTTCCATAAAAAAAGAAGTGGTAAGTAACAGTTTTTTGTTACTTACCATTAATTTGGTAGAATTTTGGCAATTAGGTTTGTAGGTGGTAGTAGTAATGGTGAGGGGGTGGTCAATTTGTGTCAACAGATGTGATTTATTTATTTACTGTTATGTTATAGTCTTGCTATAAATAATGTTTTGTTTGAAGCAATCACAAAAGCCATAGATTTTGAAACCATTTTTAATTTATAATGAAAACTGCTTGACTTTTTTTTCTTTACCTGGTGCTCGTGTACCAAATAAAAGTGTCTCTTGTATTAGTCATACCTGTGAAAATTATTTCAATTTATAAAATACAGGTGTTACTTCAAATAAATGTTTTTTTACCAGTAATTTTTATATAAATTTAATAAACATGGTATAAAATAATTGTATTGTGGAGAAGATTATTTGAAAAAACAGCAATATGCATACACAGATGTGTGTGTGTGTGTGTGTTTTTTTTTTTTTTTTTTTTTGACAGGATTGGGATTAATCTTGCACAAAGCAAGCTGGGTCCAGCCTGACAGCATTTGTCATGATTTGAGGCAAGATTTTACAAGGTTGGATGCCTTTCCTGACGCCCAACTCAGACATGGTGGTCCTAGTACTCTGAGTATTTTTATCATGACATCATCTCTAGAAAGCTTGCCAATTAAAACTTGAGACCCCATCCTAGCCACACACACACACATATATATATGAAGTGATGGATTCTTTATTGATCTAGTAGATTTTATTACTTAAATGTTATTTTAAGTGGTTACCCATGTTTGAGTAGATGTTCCATTTATTTATTAAACAGTATATTTATTTTCATTCAATGGCCTGAATATTCAAGAAAAATGGCTTGCCACAACTTCCTATCCTTGTAGCTCTTAGTAACGTCTGTCTTTTTGCCATGCCCCTCCTCTGCCATCCATTCCCAACTACCAGTTGTTTAGGTAGGTGGAATGCTGTTTCCCCCCTGTTCTTTTTCCCTTCAGCATGTTCTGTGAGTGTCAAATTCCCCAAGCTCTCCTTTGTGGAACCACCTCTTAATTGCTGGTGTTCCCAGGTCCACCCTGTTCTGGGGTGGTAGCAACTGTTAGGGTCCCAACTATGAGTAACTAGTTAACCCCCCAAACTAGAGTTAAAACACTATAAAAGTGTAAAAATAGATTTTAATACCAGAAATACTTGTAAAAAAATTATTACTAGTTATACATTTTTGAAAAAAAAAAAAATTACCAGCTATACATTTTTAAAAGACAATTATTACCAGAAATAGATTTTTGAAGAGAAAAATATTACCAGAAATGTTTCTTTTGAAGGAAGGAATATTACCAGAAATAGATTTTTGAAGAGAAAAATATTACCAGAAATGTTTCTTTTGAAGGAAGGAATATTACCAGAAATAGATTTTTGAAGAGAAAAATATTACCAGTAATGTTTCTTTTGAAGGAAGGAATATTACCAGAAATAGATTTTTGGAAAAAAAATATTACCAACAATGAAAATTTTGTTGGCATTAAATGACCCATTGAGGTTGATATGCTGTACAACAAACCAAACTCTCCTTTCTCATTGTGTTCAAGAAAATTCAGCTGACTCTTTCTGATTCTGATTCAAAGCATGAAAATATTTAGAAAGTGCTTTAATTGCTAGATCATCCACAATCAATTTATGTCCAGGTTCTTACAACATTTCACCATTCTTGGCAGATCTTCTATTATCATAGTGTAGGATATTTAATAACAAAGGCGATGAAAACAAAAACAATCTAAATAAATTCAACTAGATTATATGCCTAAAACATGAAAAAAAAATTATAAAATTTCCAATGTCTCTTGTTCATGTGCATGTGTAGTCGCATCAGCATAAAAAAAACTTAGTCTAATGAAGTCTTAAAGGACAAAACACTTCACATGAAAACATTTTTCATACCTCTTTATTCCAAGATTGGGCGTCCTGGGTAAGATGATAAACTACATCCAACAGCAAGGCCTTTGATTAGGAGGTTTTGAGGAGCGTGGAACCACCTCTTAATTGCTGGTGTTCCCAAGTCCACTTTGACCTGGGGTGGTAGCACCTGTTAGGGTCCCAGCTATGCTCAAATAGTTAGCTCAAAACACTATGAAAGTATTAAGTTTTAATACCAGCAATACCTTTGTGGAAAAATTATTGCCAACAATACATTTTTGAAGATAAAATTATTCTCTGCAAGACAATATTACCAGCAGTACATTTTTTTTTAAAAAGAAAAATATTACCAGCAATACATCTTTGAAAAAAAAATATCAGCAATACATTTTTTGGGGGAAAAATATTACCAATAATACATATTTGAAAAACAATATTACCATCAATAAAAATCTTGTCGGCATTAAATGACCCATTGAAGTTGATATGCCGTAAAACAAAATAGACCAAACCAACCTAAGGTTGGATTATATTTATACGTTATTGAGTCTAAAGAAACAGTAATTTGAATGGAAACTTAATATATTCAGTGTAAAAAAAAAAAAAAAAAAATAGAATTCAGTTTTATTTAAATTTGTTTCTTGAATCATTAGGGCTTACGACCATTTCATGTTAAAACACAGATTCTCATCTGATCACTGAAGTTAAGCAATGTCAATCCTGCTCAGTACCTAAATGGGTGGCCACTTGAAAATACCAGTTGCTGTAAGTTTGGATATGTGGTTGGTACAACAGATAATGGCTTGGAATTGGAAATCAGAATGTTGAGTTCCAATTCCTCTTGGGTTCTTATATTCATTTATGTCCAAATACTCTTGAGAAAAGTATGAATCCACCTCTTCCCCCAGCTATGGATTAATTAGTCAGACTTGTATCAGTAAATGATTACTATGTCAAAAATATTCCTACAATGTAGAAATATTGTCTGTCTTTAAATAACCTGGAAAAGGTTGATAAACTATAATAGAATGAAATGGTTAAAATAGTTTCTTAGGATTGTTTAATAGCATTTTGGCATCTAAGAAAAAATATTTAGTTACAAGTTATGAATTGAATGTTTAAAAGTACATAATGTTGAAATAGTTATTTAGCTTTGTATCTTAAATGATACAAGAAATAACTAAATTTTCCAGAATTAAAACGATAATCTAAAAATATTTCCTCATCTGCCCTGTTGTTTTGTCACTTTTAAGTATTACATCTTGTAACAAAATGATTGAAAAGACACACAAAATTGTTTGTGGCTAGTATGCTTCAACATTATTAAAAATATTATTAAAAAGCTGGCCTTGGTCTTTATTGTCTAGGATGACTATTGGTAAAGGAAAACTTGAAGTCAGGGAAAAGTCAGGAAAAAAAAAAATTGGTCAAGGAAATCAAGGCAGTTCCTGCAAATTTGGTCAGGAATTTCTTGCTGTTGAGGATCCTATAATCTTTAATGTAATCTAATACTGATCTTTACTGTGTCAAAAACAACTATCACTTTTACAAAGTGATGTTGATGTAACTACATGTGCACACAAAGGAGAGATGATACTGAAATTTGAAACTTATTTATTTTTAAATGCATTTGGTCTGGCAAATTTCATTTAGTTTCATGAAAATTTTATTTTTTTTCCACTTTGTTATTAATTTTCCTAACATTGTTTTGGTATACAAAAATTTATATATCATTTTCTCCCAGCTTTTCTGTAATCTGTAACAAGTACTTAAAGAACTTTTTTTTTATTTCAGCCTCACCCAGTCCGAAAATGAGTGATCGGATCAAGGTGGGAACCCGTGTGGAGGTTATTGGTAAAGGGGTGTTTGGAAAAGTGGCTTATATTGGGACCACTCTCTTCTCCACAGGTAAGATACTTTTTTCTTCTGTTAATTGTTGGGGAAAGCCTTACATTTCTTTGGTCAACAATATTGTTATCTCAATTGTTATTCCAGCCATTCTCTACTTCTGTGTCACTGATTTGGACATCTACATAGATGAGAATGGTACCTGATTTTTTATCTTATGTTTCATGACCAGTGATAACTCTGTGATGTATGGGCTTCAAAGCAGTCACCCACTTGACTGAAAAGGAACAAAAGAAGGAATAAATAAATGAAAACTTTTTGGGTCAAGTGATAACAAATTGTACATTGAGGATTTCCGATTGCAGATCTATATTAATGGTTAGTTTGGATTGGGTGGAGTTTTTATCTGCTCTTGAGATACATACTGTCCCTTGGTAGTTCCAATGCTGCCTGTTTCAGTTGCCAGCCACATGTCACAATGTTGGGATGGGCATAAAGTTGGAAAGAGGAAGAGTTGAAAGGAAAAAATGAAGTGTTAGTCTGACATGGCAGAAGTTGTCTCAAGTCTCACCTATCTATCCACCCAGACTGAGCAAATGAAGCTCTGAATAAACATCTACTTATATTGGAAACAGTGTTTCAGTCTTCATTTCTTGCTGTAGCTTTTGTTTTCATGTTTTGTTTCTTTGTGAGCGTGCAATGGGCCTTTCCCAGTTTTTGTTGCACAATGATATCAATCTAAATTGTGACCATTAATATAGATCTGCAACCAGAAATGATAAATGTCTGGTTTGTTATCACTTGACCCCAAAAGTTTTCATTTATTTATTCTTTTATTCCTTTTCAATCTATCCTAGTTTACATCTTTATTCTTGTTCACATCGTTGTGCACCAAAAACTGGGAAAGGCCTGTGGCACATTTATAAGGAAACAAAATCTGAAAACAAAATAGAAAGGCAATGTGGGGTGGTTGTTCACCAGCTAATGGAAAGCTGGGAGGGTGTCCTGTTATAGGTTTACCCTTCTTCAAGTATATGTTATGCTCAGTAATCTTTTAACTCTTTCATATTTATTGTTTATAACTTTTATTCATTAACACACAAAATACTCTTTGGACAATTGAACTTCATTGTATAATTATTGGTGTTAATGTTTTTGCTAATACATTCTTCAGTCTGTATCTCGGGTATTCTGTAAAATAAATAAAAAAAGAAAAGGGAACTGCTCTGCCCCAAAGGGTCATTAAAAAACAGGATGGCCAGCTCCTTTGACATCTTTATTTACATTATGCCATGAAGCAGCCATCTCTAATATATTCAATATTCAAGTCAGGAATAACAAGTCTGAAAAGAAATTCACAAATATTAGTATACCTCATACTGAAAGAAAGTGGTTATATATATATATATATATATATATATATATATATATATATATATAAATTGTGTGTGTATAGATAAATAGATAGATAGGGGACATAAACACAAGTATTATTGCTTGTGAGAAATTTTTCAATGCATTTACCCTATAAATAACCTAGGTGTCAAAAACGATACCTCGGCCATTCAAGGTAAAACCTCAAGTATCAGCTATTCCACTGAATATTTTTTTAAAGAATTAAGTCTGTTAAGCATCTTTGCTAAAATTCAATAATTGTCCATAAGCCTCAGCATCGAACCAAAACTAGTTATTCCATAGTAATTTGTCGAAAATTTGAAGGTGTTGAAAATGACACCTCGGCCATCCTAGTGTTAATGCTTATCATCTCTTTTTTGAGAACAGTAGGCATTAATGGAATATAGATAGAAGCCTATAATTAATATAGTGTCTTTTTTTAGCGGCTTGGATTGAGGAATCGGAGAGCCGAATTCGAATTTCAGTCGAATCTATTACATTCAGATATGTGCTAATACCCTTAGGAAAGGTATGAATCCTCTTCTTCTACCCCCGGCTATGGGTAAATAGCAGGACAGACTGAGTTCTATAACCTTGGATGGAAACTGGTCTACTGCAGAAAGAAATGGCAACCTACTGCAGGAAAAAATCTGCCTTGTCAGTATACCAAGCATGTATCATGCATGGCACATAACTGAATTGTCATTATTTTCACTTTATATTTGGACTATTGGCTTCATCTTTGTTATCACAATGTTTCATCCATTATGCCATCCGGTCTTCCTCAGGTGTATATCGATCTGGCTAACCTGCAGAGAATTCTGAACCCTTTATTTAATCTACAGAGGTAGTCTGTTCTCATTGCACTGCTAATGTTTAGTTTTTCTATTTTATTTAGTACTGTTCAGTTGTTATTGTAATTATCAATCCTCATATATGGCAGTGAGTGCTGGGCAATATTCTCATTGATGAAGAAGAGACTTGTGGCAACAGATGTGGTTCTACTGGAGGATACTGAGAATACTATGGGCTGAGTGTATGAGCAAAAGAGATACTTTAAGATATGAGCTATGAATTGGAAACCTCAGAATCAAACAAGTACATAAATTTAATTATGAAGGAAGTGTTATAAGAGAAGATGGAAAATGTGATACAGAAACCTGAAGGCATATTAGAATGGCAAAAGATGCCTTCCAAAAGCTAAAACCGTATATTAAGAAATATGAAAATTTTGTTAGAGCATCGAACTGCTATGTAATGGGAATCCTCCAATCTGGCAGTGAATGTTAGACAATTTCCTTACAGATGAAGAACAGACTTGAGGCAACAGAAATGTTTCTCCAGAAGGATGCTGAGAATGCCATGTGGACAATAAAGAAGTTTTAAGGAAAAACGAAACAAAAGGGGCACTTATTAGAATCAGAAAGACAGTTGAAATTTTTGGGATACATTATGAGTAAAGAGGATTTGGAGAATTTGAAACTCACAAGACATACTGAAGACAAGAGAAGCAGAAAGAAACAGTGAGTAAGCTACCTAACAAGTTTGTGTAAATGGATAGAACAGTGAGTGAGAAAGATAGTAAAACAAAAAGACATTGCCAAGAGCTTCAAATGATAGAATGTTCTGGAGAGCCTGAATTGACATGACATGTAAGAGAAGAATTAATACTGGGTTTTTATTTTATTTTGGATTTTATGGTAGGCATTAATAAAGTAATAATACTCCAAAAGTACTTGTCAAGCTAGTACAGATTTTCAACACATTGCTTTTCTTAGCTTAGCAAAGTCTTATAATACTATTACTACTACCTGATGACTATTCATGAGTTCAGCATGTGTTTAAGGATTTGCTTCAAGTAGCAGTCAGTAGCTTCTGTCAACTCTCAGGAAAAGATGGTGATTCTATTCATCAACAACTGCAATCTATAGGGGACTTTGTTCCACAATTGGTAGTGTTATTTTTCCCCAGTCTGAATTAGCTCCTTTTCTTTCATTCCATTTTGAGTGTCGTTCGTTTATTCTTTACATATTGAGGTCTCTCAGAACACAGAACTAGCCTACTTGCAAAAACAATTCTTCTATGTATCATGCTCCTTCAAGATGTTGGTGATCATGGCTCTCCACAATTTCCTGTTTTTTGTAGCTCTTTGTAAATTTTATCTTTTGACTACCTCTCCTAAACCCTTTTCTGCCAGCCATTAACACAAGCTCGTTAAGTTATATGCTGTTTTCCTCTGTCCCTCTAGACTTCAATATGTCCTGTATTAAATCCTTCCTCATTATGTGCCCTAGAAATTTCAACCGTCTCTTTCTGATGTTAAGTATAAGTGTCCTTTGTATTTCCATTTTCCATAAAACTTCCTCATTGCTCACCTGCTTAGTCCATGGTATTCTCAGCATCCTTTGTTAGAATCACATTTCTGTTGCTTCAAGTCTCTTCTTAATCTGTGAGGAGATTGTCCAGCATTTACTGTCATATAAGTGAACTGATATTACATAACAGTTCAGTACTCATTTCTTTGTTTCTAATGAAATTTTCCTGTTAATACTTTGCTTAGCTTTTGGAAAGCATCTTTCGCTATCCCAATGCACCTTTAGATTTTTGCATCACACTTTCTGTCATCTGTTAAAATGCTTCCCATATATTTAAATTTCAATACTTGTTTGATTTTGGCATCTCCAATTTGCAAAAACAATTATTAAATCTAAGTTGTATGGGATAAAAATAACAATGAATTAATATATAGACAGATATAGGTCTAGTTAACATTTGAATCTGTGAATATCTGTTTGGAAGGTGTCCTTTTCTGTAGGAGGTCTTACTCATCTGCAGAGGATACAGTTAATGTATTTTAAGTTCTGCTGACAGAGGTATATAATTAGGGTATAATTTGGAATTGCCTAGTTACTTGTACCCGATACTGTGGAAATGGAGTGGTACCATTGGTACTCGGACTGATGGACATTCAGCTGAGGGACATTTGGCCGATGGACATTTGACCGAATGGACATTGAGCTGAAAATGTAGTGGCATACTTACATGTCACACTCTTTATCTTAATTTTTTTTTTTTTTTTTAGAAAAAGAGTAATGGTATTGACCTTGTTTAATATAACGAAACAGTGAGATTGAACATTCTTCAGCATTAAATTCGCTATTTAATTTCTTCAATATGTGCTACATATATTTATTTACTGTATTAATTTAGAAGTTTTTGTTCTTTTTTGGCCAGTTTTAATTTAATTACTTGAAATTCAATTGTAATTGGATAGAATCCAATTTAACAGTTACAAAATTGGCACCCTAATCAGAATTATAACAAATTTTGGAATCGTCCAGTTATTGATAGGAGAAATATGACCAGTATCAAAAAATAGATTTTCTGACAGCAATTGCGCAGTCTTTAAATACTTGAAAACAAGAACATACATTGTACCTTATTTTATTAAATATTTTTATTATTTTTTTTTTTTTTTTTTTTTTTTCTTTGCAATAAATCATTTTTAATCAAAAATTAAACACCACCTTACATCAATTGCTGAGGAATAGGGGATTTTCTGTGAACAATTGCTTACACCAATATATTCATAGTACATTAGTCCTATTCTACCTTATAATACTGCTCAATTGTTCAGACAATATTTGGTAAAATTCTTCATACTC